TTTGGCAGTACAACCTGGACCCTGCTACCTGAGGACTGAAACAGAAACGAAGCACGGTGCTGGGACCCCGAGACACAACCGTTGTAACCTGAAGGGCTCGTGGTTGCTTGCCACAGGGGGATGCTGCTGCCCACAGGGCCCAGGGAGGTTTCGGTGGCTGGTCTGTGTCCTTCCCTCTGCCCTGGGGGGCAAAGAGCAACAATTTGGGGCAGAAGCACACTTGGGTGCTCGTGCTAACATGGAAGAGCTAAGGTCAAGCTGTACGCAATTCCTCATACACTGCAGGCTAGGCAGGGTTCAGAGATCCCGATCCTCCTCCATTATTTGAAGTACTGTATTTGCTTGCTTTTCATCTCCCTCCTTTCCCCCTTAAATTTTGTCATAAAACCCTAATGTCTTGTCCTCAAGTGCATATTCACAACCACTGGCAGGCTGCTGTTCTCCCTGGGCAGCTCTTCCATACAAAGGTGCTTAGGTTTGATAATCTCCTACCGCTTAATTGACTCAGGTAATAAGTTGCTGCTCTAACACATCAGGGCTTGGACCTTATCCCACACACACCCACCGCCACATCTTCCCCTGCGGGACCCGTACTCCTCCCTCCCCTTGGGTGCCCGCGGGGAACCCCCTCCCCATCTATTCCTTCTTCCCCTCCTGACACATGGCAGGGGAACAGGTTCCCCGGGTTTGCACTTCACGGGGAAGAGCAGAAAGCCCAACTTACCGGACTTCCAACCCCAGGTCTGCTTGCTGAGGCTGAGAACGGAGAGGGGAAGAGCTTGGGCTCCCACCTCACCTCCCCGACATGAGGCACAGCTTGCACAGAACTAAAAAAAAGGGGTCGGTGTCTCAGTTTCCTTTCCTAAGCAGAAAGCAGGGTGCTGACTGTAGCTCAGCTGGCGCAAGGGAATGGGGGGAATAGCAATCCAGGCTGCCCCTGGCACCTCTTTTTAGGAACAGGCTCCATCACAAGGCTGAGTCAAACACGTCAGTATGTGAGGGCAGCCCAGCCCCTGCGTGTCTTTTGCTAAGCTAGTAAATGTTAGATTAAGTGCTGGTAGATGACTCCGCTTCCCTTTCCTGGTCCTGATCTCTGCAATTAAGACTAGTGATTATTTTGGTTTCTGAAGTTTATATACAACGTGACCGAAAGCAGTCTCCTGGGTTTTGGGAAGGAGGGTGCAGTCAGGTGGGGATGTGCTCAGCACCAGGAAAGCCCAGCAGCAGCAGCAGCTCCGGCTGGGAATTGTTTGGTCGGTGCCTGAGAACACCAAGTAGCACATCTGCTTCGGGAGATCAGAGGCTTTTCTGTGCCCTCTGCTCTCCCACCTCACACACCGCTCAGCATTCCTCCCACTGCAGGAATGATCCTTACCCTCCTGTTACATGTTGCAATTAAAAAAACCCCAAAAAATCCCACCAGAAACCGCATAATTATTGGTGTTTTGTGGGTGCCAGGAGGTTACCATCTTCCTCTCCCTCCCACAGTGCAGGGGACAAAGAACCCGCGCCTGGTATGGCCCTTGGCTGGGGAGCTGCAGAGCTCCCGCTTTTCCGCCGTACGCCTCCCACTGCCATCTCTCCAGGCAGAAAACCAGAGGCATTGGTGATCAAAATCCCTCGCACTAGGACAGGGCTCAAGGGAGCAAAGCAAATGCCAGGTATAGGCAGGGCCCACTGCTTAACTGAAGCCTTCCTTCTGCAAACAGGGGAGCGTGTTGGCACATGCTGCAGGAGGGATATTGCTTTGTCTGATCGCTTTGAAGACTGGGGGGCGGAGGGAGAAGAGAAGAGGCCAGTTAAGTGTGTTTATGTTTGAGAGGAACAAAGGAGAGCGGAGGAGAGGGTGGGGGTGCCTGTGCCAGAGATGTGTCAGAGATCCCATCTTCCTCCTGGGCCAGAACACCAGCCTGGGACCACCGGCGGAGGAGGAAGCGGCGTGCACACAGCCGGGTTTAAAGCAGGGAGAGGAAAGTTAGAGCAGAGAAAAAACTCCCAAGAGACTTGGGATGGTGATAAACATGACACAGGTTAGACACTGGGTTTCCAGCCAGTGAGGTGTGTGATACTGCACAAATATACCACATCAGATAGTACTGCAAGTGCGTATCTTGCTGGGTCCTGGTTTCCCTTGAGGGAGGCTGTGTTAGGGAGCCCTGGAGTACACAAAGTTTTACCAAGTCAAAGAGGAGGAGGCCATCAGCTGCACCCCAGCTCTGCCATCCGTTATGGCAAATGAAACATGGGTCCCTCTGTTTGTAACACTGCTGGGGGGAACTGCCTTCCCGGGGGGTCTCACACAGCCCAGGGCGTTAAGCACTGCCCCTTCTGCCTTGCACTGCACCCCAGCAAATGGCACCCCCCCCAGCACAGGGGATGAATTTAGAGGACTTTGTGAAAGTCACTCACCAGCAACAAAAACCTGAAGTGTTTTTCTGTTCTCTATTTAACGCTGTGCTAACAGTGACGGGAACAGCACCTGCACAAGCCCCTGAGCGCACTGCGGACAGTCAGTTCCCAGCGAGAGTAAGCGCTCGGCCGGGCTGGCTGTTGCCGCACAGCACCAGTCCCTGCGGCAAACCCTGTGAGCACAGGGAGAAGGAAGGTGCCACTGAAGCCACCACCAGAGCTGTTACCTTCTACTTCCCAGAGGCAGTAGCTCTGTTTTGGCAGGTCCCATCTGTAAGTTAAACCATCTTATTCTCAAGCAGAGAGTAAGATAAATGCGGTGAGCTCTTTGTTCTCACTAAAAAGAAGCCTGCATCCAAAGATTGGTTTTATTGCACTGGCTTAATACAGACACCCTGTGCAAGCTCCAAGGCCAGCAAATCTTCTGTTGCAGGTCATCATACAGATGTCTGATTCAACTACACTTAGGCACGGAACAGATGAATGTCCGTGGTTGGACAGAGGTGTGCAACAGCTCCAGCGGCGTGGTATAGACATGGATCTCCTACCTGCGGTTTCCCATCCAAAAAAAGAAGAAAAAAAGACCCTAACAGTCATTCACCAAAGCTTTTTTAGTTTTTTGGGGACGGGAAGTAAGCACATCATACATTAACAGGTACTTCTGAGTTCTCGGTAACCTTTCATGGAAGCAGAGACTGTTCAATATCCACATTGACTCTTTTGATGTTGCAAAATGCTTCTGCAGACCCACCAGTATTTCAGCACATGAATTTTAATACTGCGTGCCTTCCCTACCTACTATTTTTTTAAATTTATTTTTTAAAATGCAGATTAAAAAAAAAGCTAGTGGACAGCCCTACTTGGAGAGAAAAAAAGACAGACTTGAATTAGAAAAACATCCAGATTTAAACAAAGAACTAGGAGACATCTCACATTTTTACTCTTACTTTTTTAGGTGGTTAGGAAACCAGCACTCTTCTCCATACAGCCCAAAATATAACCAAAACCAGTACTAGCTTTGCAACAGGAAACCAAAACTGACACCACTTCTTGCATTCTTGAATGCTAATGCAGAAATGCTAATGATCAGAAGACTTAAGGCATACATATGAGAGCACCTCCATGGTACACGATTTCTGCTTGTAAAAAACTGAAATCTGTCTCTTAACGGCAATGGTAGATAAAAGTTGAAAGAACTGTGTTTGAGAAATGCTTCTTTATTTTTAAATATGAAGGTTTTAAGGGTTCCCTTGCATTCCACATCAGAGTCTGAAATATTTATAGACCGAAACTTCTGCATGGAACATGCATTTCTGCAGAAGATTCGAGACCAACAATTTGTCTTTCAGTCACTGGAGGCTAATTCACATTTCTAAGTGAAATGATTTTTGTTTTAAATTCAGCAAGTGTGTCTCAGACCTCAGAGATGGCAATCTGGAACAATTCCACTGGAGAGAGCAGGGGAAATCAAGAAACTGTCTGTAAAGTCAGACCCACAAGGACTCACAGCAGTGACTATTACTGCACGTGCTGCTTCTGAACCTGCAGCAGATACGGTATTTGAACTTCAGAAACCACAGTGTTTCACCAAAGCACAAAGTGATTAAGACAATAAAATGCTATTATGCCTCCTGAGATCAACGGCTTTCAGCTAAGATCCTAAAGGGATGTTTCATCAAAAGGCACTCGAGTCCATCAATCACTATCTGCTCCTTTTACATGAGTCCCTGGCAGGGCTCCACTCCTACTTTGAGGTTTTATTTTCATCCAGCTGCCCTCTTGTGTCTGCACACAGGCTTACAGGCAAGCTCCATCCCCTATCCAGTGAGGTGGACAGAGCAGGCCCTGAGAAAGACAAATCGTAGCTATCATACTTGTGTCATAACCAACCTCAGAAAACAGCACTGCACTGCCCTTCTCTGGTATCCCGCAAAAAATTCTCCCATCTGCACATTTCTCTGCAAGATCCATCAGCCGCAGTCACAAAATGTGCTGGGTTTCAAGCTCATATATGTACTTAAAAGAGGACAGAATAAAGATGACACAGACACACTGCAGTGTCCATCTTCCCATTTTATTTGTAATCCCCAAAATGATCCAGTGAGGATGGTCAGCTTCCCCTCCAGTCTTGGTTAATGAATGTAAAAGAAACATCAGAAGTCACATCGTACTGGGCCTGACTCTGCAGTTGGAGTCACTGAAATGACAGCTGCAGGACACAGTACGCAGCATTAGCCAATCCAACTTCTACATGCTTAGGATTTTGCAAAATGTTGGATTACTACATCTACAAGTTGTTAAGTCACAACTTTTACTGAGCAAACAAAACCTCTCAAAGCAACATACTCAGTCCTACTAGCATTTCCAGAAGACTGTGGAACACCCACGTGCACTGAGCCAAGTACACCAGGTGCTGTTTTAAATGGGAGAGGGTGGGGGACGAGGGGAGGACTGTGCCTCAAGCCTACCTAGTCCCTCCCAATGCCAGCGGGAGACCACTCCCTACTCCAGATTTCTTACCCAATTGCCACAAAACATGCAACAGTATAGACTATGCATAAAGGTATCTGCTAACAGAGCAACCTCTCCCTGCCCAGAACCCCTATACCCTGCCTATCAGAGTACTTCTGTATGCAGAAAGAGCTCCAGGCACTCAGGTGTGGAGACAGCAGGTCTGGTTCATATGCTGTCTTCACTGATGGAGGTGGTCTCGCAGCACAGCAATTAGTGACAACTCAGGCAAGTCTGAAGTCCTGCCTGTGGAATCATCAGGCAAATGGGGGAAGGACTGCATAGAAAACCCAAGACTTTGCCCTTTCTTCACAAGAAAAGTACACCATATAACAAAGAGGAGGGGAGGGCATTAATTATGCCTAGGAGTTGTTAAAAATAGGGGTATCCTTAACTATTGTGTTTCCAGAACAGGGATGTGATATCTGAGTATCCTACGGAGTCCAAGAGGTGTGGGAAGATGACGGTCCTAGTCAGTTTTCTGTAAGGCCTGGAGATGTTGGTGCGTTTCTGCTGCCTTGTCAGTTCCTAGCCTTTTATAACAGCAATAGGTCTCAGTTTAATGGCTTTCTTGCTGATGCCAGCTGCATGGCAGGTGTTAACCACATCTGTCACATTCTTATAAGACTCTGGTGCCTGGAGGGGGAAGAGAGGAGAAAAAGACAGACAAAACTATAAACAACCCAAAGTCACAGGAAGTTAGATGTAGGCTTTTGATATCCCCTCTTCTATTCACAAAAACAGAATCATACGAATTGAATATGAATTGAAGGTGGAGAAGTAGGTGAGCATACTGAGAATCTGGTCACCTTACATATCTAAGAAATCTATGAGATGCTTAAGCTTTCCAAATAAGCTTTCACCATATTTCAGATAAAATACTAGCTGTTTTGGTTCAGTTTTCCCTATTTTCTCAGATATCCAGTCCACCAGCATGTGAGAATGTCAAGCCTCATTATCTGGCAGGAAGGGACTCCAACTGCCTCCTTACAGATAGCCTTTAAGATTTACCTTCACTGCCCCTTAGTGACAGGAATCAAGAGTTGAACTCTAGATCTTCCCCCTCCAACATTCTCACAAGGAAGCTGCTCTTAAATAGAGATTTTAACGTGGTCAACACGTTTGTACAATACCAACACCCATAACACAGTCCCAAATGATTAACACGCTTCTATGAGCGAGGTTGTGAACAAAAAAAGACATTCTATCATGTTAATGCAGAGGAACTGGAAGTCATAATATTCAAAGTTTTCCAGTCATTCAGACTTCTCTTCTTCTTGAGCAAATATAGGAATTAATCTCAAAAGAGGCAGATCTCTCATACACTGCTTATAATCTACATGACAGCTGCAGCATAAAGTAAGTTTAAAGCTGGGATAACATTCAAGAAGAGAACGCATAGAACATTACTACTTTTGTGGTGGTCACAAAGACTTCTCAGGGTCGAAAGTAATTATCCCTATCACCAGGCAGAAGAGGGAAAAAAACCCCCATATCCCTCAAAACCTGTCAAACAGGCATCTCTCCTTTCAAGTAAGACTTTAGGGACAGGGAAGACTTCACATTATTTTCCAAAAAAATGGATAGCTCCATCAGAAATCGCACAAGCTGTATATTTAGAGTACTCATGATTACTTAGCACTGCAAAAAAAATAATTAAGTCAGGGAGGGTCATTCAGCCAAGGAGCAAGAGCTCTTTTTCCCTCTCAGATAATGAAGTATTAAACTCACTTCTTCCATGACCAGTTTGGGAGAAGCAACACGGATGGCAATGCCCATGTCAGCCAGCTTGTCCAATACATCCTGGAAGTCCAAGTTGCGTCGAGATTTGGCTCGAGACAGTGCACGACCCTAAACAGCAGTTTTGTTAGCTCTATTTAAAAAAGGTTCAGAAAAACAGAACTCTTTCTTATTAAAGAAAAACATTATTACATTATAAGTAAACACAGAATGTCTGACAGCACAGACCACTGTAAGCCCCAAAACAGGAGGTTAATTTAGACTTTAGGTGATGGGCTCCTGCAAAATCACACATCTGGTATGATGGCTAGGAAAGTTCCACGTGTATAACACACTAGTCTGCAAGTGTCTTTTTTTACCCAAACCACTTGTCAGACAGTGTTCAGGAGTCGGAGTTTTACTGGAAGCTATTTCTCTTCCTCAATCACCCTGTCTCACACGGTAAATAACAGAGGAGAAAATACCTTCTTCTAACTACTGAGGAGTTTTACATGGACAGCCTTAGCACAGTTAATCCTTCTTGTTAGCTCAGGGATATCAGAATTTGGTAAAAGGAGCTCATTCTCCACATCTTCATCCTAACATTTGCCTTGTATAAAGCAGCAACCCCTAAATTTTCTGCAGGAGTAGTCAAAACTACTCAGTAAGGGACAAAGAGGACTTCTAGCCTGCAGTTCTCCTGACCTGGGATTAGTGTGAAAAGGATACTTTCTACTTGTGTAAGACCAACAAATGAATCACACCCTGGATGACCCTTGAACAACCTTGTTCTCTGCATGACAGTGCCATTCCAATCCCTTCCTGAAATAACTTTCTGACTTACAGCTCCATGGCAAGTAGTTCCGAAGGTCTCAGTCATGCCTTGCTCTGTGCCAGTAAGAACGTAGCTACAGGTGCCCATAGTCCCGCCGATCAAAACAGGCTGTCCAGTCAGCTGTGGATACAAAGTATTAATTCACAAAAAAAAGCTTAAAAAACTCATTCTTAATAAAAGTCTGAGAGGAACTGTATCTCCAGACAAGGACGTCAGGTTCATATTCCCTCTGAGCATCCCTGCTTGTCTCGGGTACCTGGTATCAAGGATTCTGGAGAACTAACATCACTAAAAGACGCAGACCCAGCAGATCAAAAGACTTGTGTCCAACAGACAGACAAGGCAAATCAAATCACAGAAGCCTGCCCTAGGTATGAAGCACTTCTCTCCCTTCATGATCTTCCAACCATTGTGGGTGTGGAAGAGAAGAGTGAGCTCAGTGTCCCAAATAAGACTTGTCTGTGTTAGGTAACACACAGACAAGCAGAATATTGCCATCCCACTAGGGTTCCAGTGCTGTTAGCTCAAAAAAGGAACTTAAAGCATTTAGATCTCTGTTGGGAACCCTAAAATTGTCTGACTCATCCAGAATTCTCTTCTGTTTTCCTTCACCCACAAGTACACTTACTTGATAATCAACAGCAATAAGAGGATGATGAGGAGGGAAGGCCCTGGTCGATCCCTTTCTGTGCACCAGCAGAGTCCGCTCCTTTCCATCCACTACATGTTGCTCCACTTTGGCAATGTTGTGAGAGACATCATAGATAACATGCATATCAAGGTCATCCGGAGTTGTGTTGAAGACTTTGGCAAAGGCCTAAAAAGACAGCAAATCAGGATGTGAAATACAAGAAGATAACTGCTGTGTTTATGTGGAAGATTTACAATCTTTTTAGAAATTAAAAGGAATGAATTTGTTTGAAAGTGTTTCTTACTGCTAAGTCAGCGACCTATACACTTGGCATGGCAGGTAAGAAACTTTAGTCAAATTCAGCCACAATGGAATTGAATACAACAGTGCTGGGTGCGACAGCATTGGACTGTCCAGGTTGTTTATCTGCCCATTGGCAGCTTTAATGCTGGAATTCAGTCAGATATCAACAAGATAAATTCTTGCAACTCTGAAAAAATGACTTCAGCAGGGTAAAAACAATTATCTTGTATTCTCTCCTTCCAGTTCAAGACATTTTTAAAAATACTGCTTAAGTGGCTCTGCAAGTACAATACAGTGATGTTGAGAGGTTTTAGATGGATTGCCATGACTACAGCTTTGGGTAAATCTCTTCAGAAAACACAGTTTAAGAAGCACAAAAATAAAAAATACATTAAATACTGCAGCTACCTTGTGTTTGATATGTCTGGGATAAAACCGGATACGTGTACCGAAATATTTGCAGAGACAACTCTGCTCCTACCTGTCTAGTTAGAAAAGTCATAGAAGAGCGGTTGACCCATGCATAGTTTCCAGCAGCTGCCATTCCCTTCAAGTAATCCTGTCCCTCTGTGGAGGCAATCCTGGCACACGCCAGCTGGCGATCGTTCACTATGATTTTGTCCCGTTTCATCGCTTTTTCCATAGCCACCAATGCATCTGGGAAATAAACACAGTAAGTCTAAGTGACTTCTTAATTTTGTTTCAATCTGTGAGGTTAACATGGGTGTCTATAATTTATATTCTAAAATTGAACTCATCTGTCTGATGGTCAAACCTATGGCTTCTCCTCAAATGCAAAAGCTAATCTGTAGCAGAATATTATCAATTGCTTGCAAACAGACAACCCCTGTCAAGGCAATTCAGAACAGACTTGGCAATTACACTGTAAGAAACGCTCTTTGGTACTGGAGTTTACTGCAAATGACAAGACCATGCTGAAGAATTTGCTTCGCTCCAGGGACCCACACCAGTCAGATCATACCTGTGGCAACTTGGTGGCCCAGACCCCTGCTGCCGCTGTGAATCATCACGCACACCTGCCCTTTGTGGTCAATGCCCATCTTCCTGGCTGCGTATTCATTGTAAATGTCATCCACAACCTGGATCTCGGCGTAATGATTTCCAGCTCCCAGGGTCCCCAGCTGTCAATCACAACACATCGATCAGACAGTGCTAATAAAGCAGCCTCTGGGAGCACAGGGGGAGGGCTACGGGAATAAGCACAATAGGGTAAATTGCTACAACAAGGTTTTGGTTTTAGAAGAGGTTTTCCAGGAAAAAAACCCAAACATATAAACTGAAAGGAAGTAGAACACAGTAGCATCATCACTGTCCTCTTTGTTCAGATTTATAATTGTTTTTACTGTTGGAATAAAACTGCAATTAAACAAAAGGATCAGGATCTACAGACTGTGCTGCCATTTTTTTCCAACTTACTTAGGCCTAGTTGAAAGACAGGAGGAGTACAGAGTATTGAGAATTCATCTTCAATTTGTATAGGCAAGGCAGACATATAGTCTTATACCTGGCTGCAACTTCCACAATGAAGTTACAACATCCTGTTAATTAGGTACTTACAACCTTCGAGTAGATTAAAGCAAGATATTCCGTTTCCAAGTCCAAATTTTTTCAGCTCCATAACAGATGATCACTTATTTGCAAGGTGAATGTGAAAATCAAGGATGTAAGACTATTTTGAGGTTAAAATGCTATAATCATGCAGCACCACAATTCATAAAACTCAAGAAGTCATACAAAAGAAAGCTTTGCAAATGGAATTAGTATAGCCATCTCAAAAGTGTCCCACACAAAGCAATGAGATACTATGTATAGAAATTAAATCCAGCCTTTGAACTGCAATTCAGAGTTACAAGCTAGTTCCATTTATTATGATATCCTTCCTTGCCTTGCTATTAACTTGCTGAGCAAACAAGGAGAAAAGTTGCAGATTAAATTGCCTGTCTCTTAGAAACAAAACTACACCTGGGTGGGGAAATGCCACCAAACATGAATTCCAGTACTGGGTGTTAACTGCTGAAAAACTGATGGCCCCATGGACCTTGGGTATGCCCAGTATCACTCCCTCTGTTACAGTTCTGTCAAGAATTATTCAGAAACGGCCCCACCACCTTACCTTTCCCCTGCCCAGAAATGCTAGGCAGAGTTTCAAGAAAAGACACAAAATTAGAGAACTACTCAGTAACCTTTACATTTGAACCCTGGGAGCACTCACAGTCCTCCTGAAATGTAACATTACCTGAGGCAGGCCCCTCTTCTTTGCTCTTGAGGAGACCTTGTTGGGATCAGCCTGCAGCATTCTTCCATATTCCTCACAGTGCTCCTTGTCCTCTGCCCAGGCATAGCCTTCCCGGAGAGACCAGTCCACACCCATCTCCAGTGCCTCTTCCAAATCCCTGCAATTATCAAACACCTACATAAGGCAGTTATCCTTGGATATACTCAAAACTCCCCTGGATATATCCCTGAGCAACCTGATGTAACTTTGTTGTTAGACCTACCTTCGGAGTTATCCAACTCCTTGCATGAAGAAGGGCTGAGATGACCTCAAGTGATCCCATCCAACCTAAATTATTCTATGATTTTACAATCAGCCCCCAACTTCCCTAACAAGAAGTCCAACTTCTTATTACTTCATGAAAATCAAGCTCTACAAATGTATTAACTTCAGACAGGTCATTACTTTTTCTTTTTTCTTGAGTGGGGAGTATCCTTATTTTCTCTCTCATCCCTTTCAAAAAAATACCTTCATGTTCATGGAGGTTGTCTGTCAGAAGAAATTAGAACCTTTCAAGAACTTTTAGTTATATCAGGGTTTTAAATGGGGGAAGAAACAGCTGACTTTGTGCACTGATGATTATGCCAGTCCTCCTGGTGAAGCATATATGCAGGAAGAATGGAAAGAGTTTTAGAATTACTTTTTCTTTCTTGAAGTCTCCCACTGATGAATCTTTCATCAAAATAAACACCAGAGGTGTCCTCTCTAGTGATGTGCACACAAAGTCATCCTCTTACTTGGCATTCATGGGGATGACACCTTTGGAGCCAACACCAACAGGAATGTGGTCAAACATAGCCTGGGCGAGCTGCTCCTTCACAGGCTGCACATCGCTTTCATCCAAATTTGTACGTAGTAAGCGGACACCACAGTTGATGTCAAATCCGACACCACCTAGAAGTGTAGAAAAGGCTATGGAGTTAACAAAGCAAGCATGCTGATGCTGAGCACTTGCTGAATATTCACCTTAAATCAGTATCCCTGCTGACAGGGAGTATATACCGAATGCTGTGATCTTACACCTTCTTTCTGACACAATACTGGGAAAAAGCAGAACTGCATGAAGCTTCATTTTAATAGATTTACATGAAGCCCCAGATTTCAAGACAGCCAACAATGTAGCCTTGCAGAGAAAAACTTGAAAACTCTTAAAAAAACCTCAGTTTTTCAGTCTTGCGCATATGCTCTACAGATATAGCTGTACAATTGCACACAGAGCTCTCTGTTTACAAAGTTGCTCTAGCAAGTAGACAATAAGAAGTAGGAACAACTATAAAATATACTGTCCACAGAAAGCAGAGAGGATGTTCCTGTTCTTCTGCCTAAAGTCAGAAGAAAAGTGACAGATCTTAGTATGGCTCCCTGATGTAATATGTTCTTGAAAGCAAGTCCCTGAAAGCAAGTTCTTTTTGAGTCTTCACTGGAATAAATAATAACTAGTTTTAATAAGTGATAAATACTTACAACGAATATTAAACTTCAGTGCTTACTGTTTTGCTTAACTCTTACCATTTAATAAAAATAAATACTGCAGTGCAAGGCCTAATGTGAAAGATCAATCATGCCACCTTTAGCATGAAGGTTCTGCTATTAACTAGTGTCCGGGGGGCATACCAGACTAAGAGATCTTGGGTTTGAGTCAATCAGGAACACTGGAACTGCCTGACGCAAACCTGAAATGTGAGTATCATGTTTCATGACAACCACAAAAGCATCTCCAGATAATCAGTAATTAAAGATCCATGTGTTTATTAAAAAGATAGACATGTTTTAAGGTCACATTTTTATTAAAGTGTAGAAATATTCTCAAAAGATGTTTTCAAACATTGCTCAAAGAAAATAGTTCTTTACCAACCTGGTGAAACCCAAGTTCAAAGTCTTGTGCTCTCCCTTCAAAACTCAGGGATATCATGAGCCCAAGCCAAAAATACAAGGGCAATTCTCTCTGTACTGTTTAGATATTTTCAGTGTAACCACCTGCTCCATAGAGAATAAATATTCTGAGTGCAAGAATTAAGCACCTTTTAACTCCCTATAATTCACATATTTTTTGCTTTGGTTCTGTATATAAAGTAAAGACCTGCCATTTCAAAAAGTATTTTTATGCCATCCCAGATATTTCTCAGCGCAGGTTAAGTCAGTCATCCTTACCTGGTGAAACCACTGCTTCAGGATCATTCATATCAAAGGCAGCCATGTTGCCAATGGCAAACCCATAGCCAGAATGGACATCTGGAAGGCCTATTGATCTCTGAAAGAGAATGAAGGGAATTTTAAAGTTTTATGAAACTCTACGCTGCACAGAGTCACCTTGGTTATGCTTTGCCTTCTGGCAGTGGTTGTCACATTTGCAAACAAATACACCAAAAAGAGCATGGATGTTCAGATGTAGATGGAATAAACACATCAATTCAGGCAAGTATCTAAACTCCTGCAGTTACAGGACAGACAGTCAGAGAAAGTAGAGAGCAGATCTCACTCTGAAGCAAACACCCAGTGGCTAGTCAGCTGAGAAGCCCTCTTGGCTCTGTTGACCAGATCTAAAGAAAACTTAGGAGGAGCTTAAGCATCTAAATGTCGGAATTGTGATCTCAAAGTGAATTCTAACCTAGCTTTTTCTTGGGAGTCGAGTCCTTGCATTCAAAACTTAGGCAAGCAATAGCTTACGAGTAGCATAAAGCAGAGACATAAGAGTGAAGATGAATTTGCCTTTACCAAGTTCCATCTAGAGACATCTGCAATATTTAAATACTGTAAATGTAACAAGGGAAGAGTTCAGTGCTATGGAACGGAATCATAAAACAGTCAGCATTTTCTTTTCTTAGCTGTGTCATTCGAACACTGACCAAAGGCTGCACCCTATAGGCAGGAAAAAGTTATCCTTTTAAGATGATATCCTAATAGGATAGGACAAAATAGGAGCTGTGTCATTTTAATTTATAAAAGAATTATTTCTATTGAACTTTTTCATATTACTACTAATTAAAGAAAGTAAGAGCATGCTTCTACACAGCTCTACAAGTCCAAGTATACCTAGCCTGGCAAGTTTAGATTAGAACACCACAAACAGCACTCCACAATCTATTTAAGCAAACAAACAAACAAAAAACCACAAACACCCAGAAAGCTGCCAGAAACTGGAACTTTTCAATGTGTGTTAAACTGCTATCATACATTAAAAAGAACAGTACTTTTCAGTGGGATTATGTGCTGCTTCTGCCTCCCTTTGCCATCACCAAGAAATCTCTTGGTTTGGAAATAAAAAAATGAAGATTTGAATAGACAGATGATCATAACATCTCTCCTATCAACTACCAGCCAAAATTCCCATTTTAACAGGTTGTTACCATTGCACCTTACTCCCTTTTTTGGTTATCACTAAGGCATTTTAACGGTGTGATGGTCTGCCTTTTACTGCGGCCAGAAAAACAATTTTGCCAAGTCACCAAAAGAAACAATTAAAAGAAGAAAATTCCGTTAATTGTTACTTATTAATATATGCAATACTGAACGTGAAAAAGATCATTTCCATATCGTACTTAGTGCTTCTTGGAAAGTCACATAGCCTAGTATTCTCCTCCTGCATCACCATATCTGATGTTTCGCTTCCAAAAATGCATGTGGCAAGGGAAAGGAGTGCTGAGTGTATAGGAAGGCTCACCATCAACATTAGGGCAGCAACAATACTACAGACAACAATATCGCCTCCTGCTCTCTCCTCACTTCTCCACGCATTCTGGGTCAGCAGAGCAACTCAAAACCAACAAACAATACAAGCAGTGGGGGAAAGGTGGCTCAAGGAAACTGAAAGAGCATAAAGCAATGCTAAAAAAGCTTTATGTCAAAAGGCAGTCAATGAAGTAAGTGGATACTTCCCTTTCTGACAACTTAGTTTTACAGCCTGCCCTTGCAAGTGCTCCTTACTACAGACAGAGGTTCCTAACACACAGACTGTCTTAAAAAGAACTTTGGTCCATACCCCTTCTCACAATGGAGTTCCCATTTGGAAGGCAATAAACCTTGGCAAATAGCAACGGAAAAAGAGCAGATTTTCACAGCAGTTACTCACGTGAACAATGCCGGGTAGTGCGGCCACATTCCCAATCTGTTTCATAGCAGGCAAAAAGCCACCTGCACCTGAAAAGGAGAGAGACAAAAAAAAAAGTAAGTAATTTGATAATTTACCATGGTAACCACAATGAAGCACTTTTTGTCTAAAGAGGTGGCTCAAAACACTGGCAAATCAGAGATCAGCCACCAACAAGTATTCTAATCTGGTATAAAGCGCCTAGCATTATGCACAACCTGCAGTTTCATTAAATGAGGTATTATGCCAAAGTCCTCCTTCTGCTGTGTTAGTACCAATGCAGACCGATCTGTGCTAACAACAGAGGTCTGTTACCACCAGCCCAGCTGTAAAACCTGGATCCAGCCCTGTGCTCCAGGCCCACACGGAACAGACAGGCCTAAACTACAGCCCCCATCAAAGTAAAGGTTGAGAGCAAGCATTGAGGGAACGCTCCGGAGCACAGAGGGGCAGCCGGCACTGATCTGGGTACGGGACACGCTACAGCTGGAGGTGACAGCTCTGTGCTGCTCACCAGGCCGCAGCGCAAGGCGAGAAAACTCAACTCCTGCTTGCTGCCTCTCCAGAAGACACGCACCGGGCCTGTCCCCGCGGCCTCTGCTCCACCCTGCTCCCTTCAGGGCCCACGGACAGCGTGCTCCGAACCCAGGCCCTCAGTGAGGGTTTCCAGGCCACGGCAAGGAGCGTGTGAGGGACAGCCCCCGGGTCGGAGGGCCCCCACCCCGCTCCCCTCCGCCGGACGCACCTCCGCCGCGGCAGGCGTTGCGCAGCTCCTC